TCTTGTTATGACTCAAAATCCTGAAGTGTAAGACGAATGATTCAATTATTTTCTGACGCAGACTCTGATGGCCTCCTATGATTGTAAAAACGGCTACATGCCCACATTGTAGCGGGAATTTCTGGAATTGCTCATGTACCTGGCCCGATAGTGTATACCTAGTTGAACTCATTAGTGAATAAGAAGCGTACACATYCTTTGTTTAAAACAATAAAGTATGCTTTGAATACTGAGCAACGTGTTCACTATTCATTATATCTAAAAACCCTCGTTTAGATTAACTAATTTAAAATGGGTAAATAAAGTTTTCTTGAAGAGTAATAGTATAGAACTCGCGGTAGCTCAGTCGGTAGAGCAACAGACTGTAGTATGTAATAACAGTTATCTGTAGTTCGTCGGTTTAATCCCGACTCGTGAGATGAAAATATTTTTGATAGAAAGAAAAACATCAAATCCACGATAGTATAGTGGTTAATATACTTGCTAGTCGAGCAAGAGACCAGGGTTCGATTCCCTGTCATGGAGTTTACACTTTTGGGGCGTACAAATAGGTAACTTGTTATCGATTGTTTGGAAAATATGTTGTTGTTTTGTTCAATAATAAAAAGGACAATATCCAAGAAGGTGCCGCGAGAACTATAATACAATCCAGCCAGCTAAAAACACGGGGAAGTAAGAATAGCCATGACGTCACCTCTGCAAGGACCCTGAAGGAGGGGGTGTGGGGGGAACCTCACTGGAACCTCACTATAGAATACGTCATCGTTATTACGGGACCGGAGTAGGGTCTGGGGGAGAACACCGGTTCGCACCGGTGGCACCTGATGTAGAACCGGCACTTCATATCTACTATTAAACACCTCACTTGCAACTGAAAAACTGAATTGCTAAGATTTACAATGAACTATAATAATAAAAATAATAGAAATAATAGAAACTCTCAATAATGATTAATTATAATAGCAAATTTGAATTAAAGATTAAGAAGTGATTTGCTCCTCAAACGCACCCATACTCCAGCACCCATACTCTAGCCCAGAGCAGAGAAAAATAACAGCAAACATCTCTCCAAGCCTGCCGGGACGTGCGTCTGAGAAACCCTCCACCACACCAACAGCCTACAGATAATATGCTATGATATATGATAGTAAAAAAAGGACCAGTTAATGYATAATTATAAATTCATTTCAAAATATAAAGGGCTAGGTCAGTCAATTCAACTTGTGAAATGGCTAATACTGGCGTTTTTTAAAGTAGTTCTTGAAACGATTTGTTTTGCAAACTGGAAGACAGAACTCTCTTTTACGCCGAAGGCAAATGGTGGAACTGCTTGCATTAAGAGGCAATAACTTATACAAACTACATTTAGGGTCAGAGGCTATTTTCTTGAAAAAGGAGGCACATAGTTCAGATCTACGTTGTTTTAAAGTTGTTAAGCTAGCAAGAGAAAGAGATTGCTCGTAGGAGTGATCATAACCATAGATAATACGCATTGCGCGCTTTTGGATACGTTCCAAAGATAAACTAAGATACTCAGGTAAACTGGAATGGAATAATTGGCAAGCATACAAATTAAGAACAGATTGAATACAAGAAATATAAAAAGTAATTAAATCTTCTGCAGGAATATTAGCACGCCTTAATTGCACTAGAAAAAAGAGTCTTTTTGAAGCTTTGCTTATAATGTCATCTACGTGAGAGTTCCATTTCAGGTCCTTTTGGACAGTCACTCCTAGGATTTTAACAGATTCTACATATTCAACTAAGTTATCACCTATGTGAACTGGGACGTGATTTTTATTAGAACGTGAGAAGGATATACAGAGTTCCTTGCATTTTTTTGGGTGTAGCTGGAATTTGTTGTTATTCGACCACTCTTGAATTTCATTCATCAATAGTTGAGCTGAACTAGATTGTCCTTTTCCAACAACTTCGTGGATGTGGTATCATCGACGTACTTGAACAAACCTTGAGCAGACTGAGATTTTAGGTCGTCAATCATTACTATAAATAGCCAGGGACCAAGTTTGGTCCCTTGAGGAACTCCGGCAGGGGTAGACTTCCACTCTGAGAAACAATCTGAAGCAAGTTCACTCTCTGATATCTGTTACTGAGGAATTCACAAATCCAGTTGACAATATGTGGATTTATCCTGTAGTTTATCATTTTTTGAGTCAGTAGTGTATGATCAATAAGATCGAACGCCTTCCTGTAATCGAGTACGAAGATCCAAGATTGCATGGAAGAAAATTAGAATATCCAGGGGTAAGGAGGTGTTTTAAATAATACCTCCATATAGGGGCGTATAGATAATTTCTGGGCCAACACATACACAATACCCAAAATGTGCAGATTTCACATGAATGTAGTTTGTCACAGTAGGTCCACAGCCGAAGCAAAGCATCCATTGCGGCAATGAAATGATGGAATGTATTGCTCATCCAATCAAAATGCTTGGACATTGTGTAACATAGTTGGATTTTACAGTCTTGTGAGACCTGCTCTATAATTTACATGGCACATTAAAGAAATACTTGAATATCAATAATCCTAGCTATAGTAATAAACTTGTAACGCTATCAAATGTAATTTACATAAAGGATTCAGTAGACTGCATTGGCCAGAGTATTTGTATAGGAAATACCACTGCTCAAGGTGAATTAATGGAAAATATCACTTGCATTTTGATGAGTAGCTTACTGCAATCTCCATTGATATGCAAAATCTGTGTCTCCGAACATCTGAGCTAGTGCCATCGGTAGCTTCAGACCAGCTATGTAACATATTTATTAAGGCGTGTGTAGTAGAAGTTTTCGGAATGCAGCCATATTTATCTGAGCCCAGCTTCTCAAGGATGGCAGGTTTAAGATGTTCTTGCACTAGCGTTGGTGTTAAAGAAATTGGTCTCAAGACTTTAGTGAGGTCTTCGATTCTTTTAACCTTTGGAAAAGGAGTGACATCTGCACATTTCCATATTCCAAGTAAAGCGTTATTGAAAAACGACGTGTTGATTATCTCACAGACAGGAGGAGCAAGAACAAAAGCGAATTCTTTAAGAACCCAGTTCGGGATGCCATCGGGACCACCTGTACACCCATGTACACTCTGTACACCAATGTGCACCTTGTATACCCATGTGCACCCTATACCCATGTACACCCCGTATACCCATGTACTCCCTGTATACACATGCATGTACACCTTGTATACCATGTACACCTTGTATGTTCATGCATGAACACCTTGTATACCATGTATACCTTGTATACCCATGAGTGAGTATGCGTTCAAAGCCATTAGTATCACTATCAAGATTTTGCTGGCCTACTAGCTTAGGCTTCGGCCGAGGGTAGTGGCCGTAAATGCTTTAGCACTCGATGTCTGGAAGTAAGTAAAACTCCAAAAATCATATTTCCATAGCATGTGTCTATTATCAATCAATAGATTTTCATTGTTTGTCTAGGGTCTATTAGTGTCTATTTTGTCTATATATACTGACAATAGTATCTTATTCCCAGCGATCTCCCCTGTGCTATATAGATGAAAATGGGAGTCTGCAATCGCGAAACCGGAATGAACAGCGAATGCGTTTCAGGAAAAACAAAACAAAACAAAACAAAAAAAAGTGGATAGATCGACTGCGTAGGGATACAAGAGACACCGCTTGCCTACAACCTGTTCAGTGGCAACGAGCACATTCTGAAATATTGCGCTAGCGTTCCAGTCCTTCAAATGTCTCAATRTTTCTTTTAGGGCGGTCTTCTATCATTTCTTTAATTTTGGATTCAAAAATTCTCTAATTAATTCCAAAATAATCGATTCCCCACTGTGCCATACCCCCGAGATATCCGCGATCTGAGCCGTCGTATGGACTTTGGACCTGACGGTAATTATGTCCTATAGATATTACACAAATAAACAAAAACAGTAACAGCGCACGTAACTRGCCGCCATTACTGTTTATGTTTTAAAGTTTCCCGCTTGCCACAGGAGGCCCCCGCCCTTAAAAGCCCGTTTTGAGAAACGCATGCGCAGGCAAAATTCCCAGCTTTTTGCCTCATCGTAGAACCGTTTCTTGTTCTCAACGGTTTGCCAGGTCTCCGAGCTGAAGATTAGCAATCAGTCCAGTTTCCAGTTTCCTTCCTCATTTAGGAGATGTGTGGTTCTTTTCATGGTAATAATGAACTTGGCAGTAGTCCTGGTATTGATACTGACGTGAAACCAAGATCTCGTATCGCGCAGTCGCGCCAAGGAAGATAAACACTGAAAGCTAGTTATCTGGCAACGGCCTGTGTTCACGAGAGGAAAATGCAATAAAATAAAAATAGCATCAGGAAGAAAATAAAGATACGGGAAGACGGTCAGTTTGCAAAATCTCTATTTACCCGAGTTATTCTCTCGAAATTGGTTCGCACATTACGCAAGCAGATTGCAAACACCCGGAGCTAGACCCCGCTTTCAGTGTCAGTGCGAAGCTAGTAGGTATAAAGGCCTAGTTTTTTCAGGTATGTGACAGCTTCCGATATGGCGCTGCTAATATTTTCAATAATGTAATAAGAATTTTGTCAAGACCAGTAGCTTTACTTGTATGTWCTTGTACTTTCAAAACCTTGAAGACATCTTCAGGTTTGATTAATAATTACTGCAATTTCAGTATGAGGGTGATAACAATATTATCTGCTTTATCTTTGATTTATCAAGTGGAGTAGTGGATGGTCAGTCTGCCTAATTTCGCTGATTTCAACATTTTGTGATTTCTTGCATTAAGCGTCTTCCATGTTTTCATAGAGTCGCGAGAATAAATGATTCTCGATTTCCACTCGTTAAAATCCTTTGTTTGTTTTTATGATAAATTGGTTTATTTCTTTGCAGTGAAGAAGAAGAAGAAGAAGTGATAAATTGGTTTATTTCTTTGCAGTCGATATAGCTAGTGACCAATCACGAACGGACGGACGGACCAACAGCCGTTYTTTAAAATTAACCATAGAGCGATCGCGGAAAGTTTAGTCATATTGCTTGTCTGGTGCTCAATATATTTAGGGAATTTCGCGCATTCAATCAGAAGGCAAAGCACTATTAATTATTATTTAGTGCGGATTATTTTGCATAGTTATATTGTATGCACTCTACCGCTCTTCAGTGATTTCTTTTTACGTAGATAGATTGGGTCCGTGTACTTTTATAACCCTTTTGAAAATATAAACGTAGATGAAGTTCTTTATGTTAGAGCGTTTATAAATATTCACCGGGTGTGATCTAATGTACAGGCTCCACCGGAAGTATGCGGCAAGAATGGCACCGAAGCCTATATCTGGCCTTACTACTGCTTGCAGACAAACAGACGGCGACAGCTGTACCACATCCTATGTAACATGACGTCAAAGGGATTGGTCATGAAAACATGACTAAAAATCTCTAGTTAACGTCAATTAAGAAATAAAACAGTTCATTCCGTTGCGTTCAATAGTAAAGCACGCAGGAACTGACGAAAGGTGGAAGGAAGTGAGTGGGTGCTTTCGGCGCTTCTYATAAGTGTTGTATTAAGGAAACCCCTAGTTCCGTTCGTAATGATACAGCTCAGTTCTTAACAAATTACTGCACTTGTACTATCTAACCTATATAACAAAGTGATACTAAAATCATTTAATCTGAAAAATGAAAATTATGGTTTTAAGTTTTTAGAAATTTGAAARAAAATGAATGAAAATAAATAAAGTTGGCAAGTCAGTAGCGAAAGTTGATTCCTTTTCTGATTTTGGATAATGGCTTTCCTTATTAATTTGAAGACATAACTGAATGCACCCTTCACAAAAAGATCTTGAAGGTGAGGCAACATGGACAAACAAAAGAAATCACGCTTTTTTTAATGGGATTTGTGGCATTTCTTTTGTATTTCCATGTTAGCCTCACATTCGAGGAGGCGTTCATTAGAAAATCATAAGATTCCATTTTTCGTTTATGAATGTTTTCTAATTTCGTTACGACTTTTGTTCTGTTCTGATTACCGTCAATTACGAAGTATACATATTTTGATAAACGAGGGAGGAAAAGAAGAAGTACYACTTCATTTAGTTTGGTGCTGAAAAGCTCTCACTTCTTCAATTAAATATACTTCTTGCTGCGAGTAAACTTTTGAAGCCCTTCTTAACCAGTAAAAAACTTATACTAGATAATACCTTAGGGCGCATTGTCGGTAGAACTCCTATGAGGTTCTCCTTTCTCGACGCGACTGAAGTCCGAAAAACGTGGAAAGACTCAACATAGTGAATATCTTTTTATGTCTCAGAGGGGCGCATTTTCTTAATTAAACCTGTTGCCTTCAGGCTTCAATCAACCTATCTCCCTTTAAATAACTTTGGCATCAAAGACAAATTCTGTCTTTTACTGGTACAGGGTTACATATCAARACTGCGGATTAGATTAGGTACGTAAATCAATGAATGGACGCTGAAGTTAATGACGAGATATCGTTCAATATTCAGTTATTTCTAACTGTTATCTAACATAAAGGCAATTATAAATTAATTAACTTTAAAGGTGCTTTATCAGATCTTTTGATCTTTTTCAGGAATTTGCTTCATTATGAGTTGCCAATTGAAAAGAAACCTAAAACAATGTCAAGGATTTGGAAACTTTGAGGTGTTGTACAAACTCGACCCTTACTGGGCTGTCATTTACTTAGGCTGCCGACCTAGGCATGATGTTAACAACTTGTGTTCATTTGCTGGTAGTGAAATCAAGTCCTCAAACATTATTACCTTTACRCCGGATCCTTGCCCAGGTAGATTTTCTTTAATTTTTTCGTTTGGCAAGTCGAGGAATCCTAACTGGTAATTAATATCAGTTCTGAACTAGTGAAGTTGCTAGTTGAGGTAGCGACTATATCTAAAGCAATTACTTTCCCTCTTTCCTATTTTTCAGCGTGCTTAATAAATACAGTTAGAGTAATAAATACTATCAGTCGAGTGATTTTACTTGGCTTGTGAAACAATGATGTATAATTAGTGACCAACAGGATCGAATACTATCAAGTATGCTTACTACATGCAAGTTAAACTGCTATACTCCAGTGTTTACAATTYGAAACCTGATGCATTGTCATAAATTTTAATAACAAAAGCATACTTCTAACCTATTTTTAAGATGTGATAAAATTCTCAAACGGTATACTTTCAAATAATTCCAACGCTGTTTTATTAGTGTCTTCGTCTTTCCAAGATATTATTGAAATCACAAGCATTCAGTTTCCTGTATATAGCTTTGTAAAGCTTTGTTTACCAACGCAGTCATTCTTTAAATAGTTCGACACACGACTTCGCATAATTAAATCTTCAATATCCTCAAGGAGATTGGTCTTTGTAATCCGTGCATGGTTTCTTTTTGTAAGAAGTGAACCCAACTTTGACCTCCCAGTGGTCAATATAGAATAATAAAGCCAAAACTATAAAGAGAACCRGAATGACAGAGCCATTAAGAGATGCTACTCTAACCTAACCCTGAAGTTACATCGATAAAGCTGAGATTTAGTCTTGAATCAAAACACTTAAATTCAATATATCACCATAATCATGAAGACGTCCATCTTAATCCTGGTGCTTCTTGTCTTTTTAACAATTTTGATGTCTTTTCCCGAAGAGAGTAATGCAGTTGTGTTTGTGCTTAGCCAGGGAAAGATTCGTACAGCTGGTCGCTTCAGAGGCAACAAACTCAGGAAGAAAAATATGAAAGGTTTGCCGAAAAGACTTCGAAGAAAGAAAAAGCGCCAGCAACGTTCTCAAAAATATCGCGAGGTTCGACACTGGCTAAGGCGGTTTAAACAAAAGGTAAGAARTTTCATCAAGTGTCGAGTGTCTCTTTCTACGGCAAAATTAACACATTCTTATCAATTTCTCACGTTGTTGTTTACATGGTGAAAGAAATGCTAACTATAGCCAAACAAGGAGAGTCAGTGACTATAAAGACTAGCTTAATCCTTCACGAATGACGTTTCACATCTCTAAGCCACATACAAGCTGCAATACAAAAACGAATGCAGCTACTTTTGTTGTTTATAGTTAATCAAAAGACTTAATACCTAGCTTTTTGATCAATTTCAAAAACAGTTTGTTCTAATCCAATTATTTCTTCAAAGAGATGTTCTAGCATTGAGGGAAAAAAGTAGTATTTTTATCAACTTCACCATTCCACTTCAGTGAGCTTTGAATTCAAACCTC